AGCGAGTCGTCTTGTATGCAAATATGACGGCGATCATTGTGTAGCTTACAATGGGGACCACAACGAAATCAAAAGATCTGCATTCAATAATCCACCCAGAAACATCCAATCAAACTAACCTACGTGCAAAGTTCTATTAACTCAGGTTTGACTAGACATGTTTACGCTCCACTTCAGCCCAACTGCGAACAAGTCGGAGCCTACATTCACATTCAATCATACCGAGCGAATCGCTCAGAGCTGGCTATCTACACACTTGCACTTCGAAACTCCTACAACCAACTATTCACAAAAAAAAAATATTTAGCCACTCACAACCAGATAAAATTCTTCGCATTCAAAACTATAGCCACCAGCTCCAACCTCACTGACACTCACACAGAGTTAAGACTTGTTTCCTAGAAACTAAATAGTTTTTCGATGAAAATCCCTAAGAAAAGTTCACGAAAACATTATAAAACCATAGAAATCTGCTCAAACCTTTACAGTGATTCAAAGTATTATATCTTATTTGAGTTAAACAATAAAATTGTTGAAATCGTCTAATTACTGGTGAAAAAATACCCTAAATTGGATCTCTTGTCTTGGATTTTTTTGTAACAGTTTTTAGTGATTTTCAAATGCTATCAAACTGTATTAAATCTGACTTGGTTCCTGATCAAATTAATGGAGATTTGTACTTAATTCTGATTGATGCGAATCGATAGCATTGGTGTCTTAAGAGAATGCGCTCCGTCTAGAGTGTATGAATCAATAATTATTCAACATGATTTTCTATATTTCTAGTAACACTTGAAAGGAATTAGTAAACCTAAGGAAAGCTAGTTCAATCAATTATTGAACTAACAAATAAAAATGTTCTATTAGTAACCGTCAATATAAAGAATCTTTTTTGAGTCATATAGACTCTATTATGATTTTTGCCGATGCCTATTATAAGGACGCATGATAATAATTATTGGGTTCTTTATTGAGAAATTGTGTCATATCATTATTAAAAACTCGAATACCGAACGTAATGATATCGTTTCACTATTATTTCATAGAAAGTCGTGATTTCAGTGACTTTGCTACAATTGTCTATACCTACAAGTTTATGCTATAAGAACAGATATAGGATTATTCTATTTTAGATTTTTCTTCTAATCTTAGAAATTTTCTGAATGAGCGATATGACCAAACCTGTTACTAACTACCGTGCTACGATTCCGAAAGAAAAGCAAATATCTTCGTCGATTTACTCACTATCAGAAATTTTTGATGGAGATGACGATGGAATTGAATTCTTCAACTCAATCTCTGAACTACTTCTATCATTCGATCAGTCAATTACGTCGTTATCTAATGAATTAGTTTTTAATAACGTTTGGTTTATTACGACCTGCATAAAAGAAAGTCTTAAATCACAAAACAATCTGTTAAAATTTCCAAATCGTACGGACTCATACTTTTACCTTTATGGTGAAATCTACAAATATCACTTTAAGATAAACAAGTCGCAAGCAAAAAATGAAATATTAGGCATGTTAAAAGAGTTAAAAGATATTATGTGGCAACAACTGGTAACCGTATTTCAAAATACATCGGGTGAAAAACCAAATATCCAAATAATGGATAGAAACGCTCTTGAAAGAATAGATATAGGTCAACATCTGAGAATAATTCAAAAAATAAATAATGTTGAAGAACTGAACATATTCTTTGTTCTTTGCAAATTATTAATGCAAATATCAATGATACTTGAAGATCATATAAAGTTTTCATGGATAGATATTTTATCACAAGTAAACTCAATCCAATTACCAATAGAATCGATTGTTTCAACGTACAAAAAGTGTCAACAAGCATTTATTAAGTGTCCGCTCGATGTTTCAGCGTTTGTTAAACTAACCGTATTAATTACGTCTCGGGAAGATTCACAAGAACGTTTATTTTGTGCCTATATTTCTTTTCTTCAAGATTTAAATCTTGATGCTGAACAATTTTATGAAAAGTATTTGCCAAACTTAATTGCTCAACTTGAGAAAAACAAGAAGATTCGATCTCAGCATATTGGTGATTGTCTTTTATGCGTAAGTCAATGGGGAAAAGTTTTTGGAAGTTATTTATCTACACTCAATTTAAGTATAAACCCTAAAATATTTTGGAAAATGCTTCTATACTTACTAGAAAGCATTAACTTTAACGAAGTGATTTCACAAAATATTAGTGCAATAATAATTAATATAATTCGAGGTATGGATATCGATAATTGTATCAAAAATATTGAATCGCTGATGGATGTTCGATCGAAACTCGAAACTGAACATAAGTTAGCTCTGACGAATGTTTTAGAAACCGTATTACACAAATTTATTTTATGTCTCTCCGAGAAAGAGTTTAATTCACACAAAATAGAGGATTCAAAATGGCTACACCTATTTAAAATTGGCCTTGAACTATCATCAACAAATGACATTGCTGAACCATCTCGATCACTCATCATCAACCGTTTACTATTTAATAATAACTATGTTCAGCGTCCTATTTACGAGAAAATCTTAAATATATTTGAAAGAATAAATCACTTCAATAATGCTGTATATAAAGGTAATGATCCAAAACTCATTATTAAAGACCTATGGTTAAGGGAGTATACGTTCCCGATTTCGTGTATACAAACTCTTTTTGATCGAACGAAGTATAGTGATTTATGTGATAAATATTGTCAAAATTCATGGGTTATTTATGTCTGGTCAAGAATCATACATCTCAGTATTGTAGAATCACTTAACACAAATCCTACTGAAATACTTGCCCATCTAGACAGATGGCTAAAAACGATTGGTCATGATACTTACAGAAGTAACGATGTATTAACGATCGCTTTTGCAATTAGTGTATTTGAGACTATTATTGTAAAACACATGAATTCAGTGTTATTATCATCCAATATTGAAGTTATAATGAATTTCGTTTCAAACGCAACAAGCCATCTTTTGTTTTCGAACATCAAAAGTCACGTAGACGATTTTCAGCAAAAGGCACAACAATGGTTACGACATATTTTGCTGTTGAAAGGTAAGTACTGTGTAATGTATGATTGACCATTTTTGGTCTAGTCAATATTTACCTCTATACCCTTTTGAACAAAAATTGATCTTTGTTGTAAGTTTTTGACATTACATGTATGAGTATCATTTTTAATTTTTCTTTTAGTTGTGCCTTGGACTTATCGGAAATTAGTACATGTATCGATCACTCCTTACGTGCTACATCTTATTAATTCCAGGGAAATTCTATCAACAGTTGAGGATATTGAGTATAATTTTCCGACAATACCACCAAAGATTGATTCGACTATAAATTGTGAAAAACCACGCAAACTCAATAAGATTATGAGTAAGATAGATGAACAATGGTTTTTAAATTTCGTTATACAAGTGAATCATTGGATTACATGGTTCGAAAGGTTCTTTGATATTTTTCAAAATATTATGGAATGGTTAACAAAACATCGAGTGAAAGATGCTCCAGAATTATTCTTTGCTATAAGTAGCATTAGAGACAAGTCAACAACAACGGTGATAGAAATGAAAAAAATAGTAGAAAATACTATGGATTTGATCTGTTCGATCGATTCTTTAGAACGTGTTTGTCATATACTAAATTGTTCTGAACGATTTGAGATAATCGAATCTGGTACGCAAAATGACAAAAAAGATTCAGCAAGATACATTCAAGAAATGAAACGTTTCCATCGGAATAATACATTTGTAATCGAACCTGGTCATCGTTCCACGAAGATGCATTCAATCAA